AAATTTAAATTCAGAACTGTGAAGTGAAATAATAAATTAATTACTGAAAAAGTTATGTTTTATCTCTTTTATATGATAGTAATATTGATTTTTTTTAAGAACTTTAAACAGTTAAAAAATTTATTTACAGTTATTAAACTGTGTTGATCCATTCAATTTTTCTCTGGATATATCGACTTTACATTTTTCTCAATGAGATGAATATATATGTGTGTGTGTGTGTGTGTATGTACATGTGCATGCATATGTGCATGTATATGATCAAAACAAAACTGTTACGAGCAAGCAAATTTGTTATTGTATACCAACAGGAAGGATTGCTAGACATTGACGTGGAGTTCTCGGACAGTACCCGTACACCCCTCAGGGAAATCGCTGTGAGCGATTACCATTTACTGGTGGAGAGTCTGGATCCGGAAGTTGTGGCGTTTGCACCAATGGTCGCTTCCCATCATCCACGTGTAATCGCGGTCGGTGAAGGCCGCGGTGACTTGCTGCGTGTCACTTTACAGCTAGCTGATTCCTGCCGATTATCCGGTAGACGTTCAAGCAAGGGTTCTCAGAGGACGACAGCCGCTGCATTGGCAAGCGCGTCGGCTAATGTCGAGGTGGATTTCGCTTCGAGCGAAGTACCTAATCGGCCGGAATTCGTACAAAACGATGGCGGTGGCACTGTCGGTTCTCATCATCATAGAGAACGTAAAACTGGCCGGGGCGAAATAGCTTCCGATCTACACGATATCCTCATCGGTAAATAGATCCTGTTCCTCTTTGCTGCTTTCTGTCTTTCTGTCTCGCTTCTTTAGCATTCTCTTCACTTTTTCTGTTCTTTTCTACGCTTTATAACTGCCACATAACGCATGGTATGCACTTTGTACTGCATTTCTTAGCGGAAACTTTCTTCGTGAGACTAAGTATTTGGCTTGTAAAAAGTTTCCTGCCTATTTATGCGTGATCTCTCTTCACGATTTCCGTCCAGTCCTTCGTAACTGATAGTCTTCCTCCTTTACGCTGAATGCCAAATGCGTCTAGAATAAATTGTGACGCAACACATTACAAATCATTGAAGTATAATATCATTGAATCATTCAACATGAAATATCTATTATATCCGAATATTTTTATACGATTTACGAAAAACAATGAAAAATTTGACCAAAGAAAAATTGGATGCAATTTTCTTGATTCTGATAATATAAAGATGATTCTAAATCCAAATGAGAAAATGAAAACCTTGAGACACTTTTTAAATATATGATTCTTTTTCTTCCTCATATCTCGAAGTAGGTTGAAAAAGGAAAAGTTAAAATTACTTATATATTATGCATAGTGTAATGTCAAATCGCTACATATCAGAATTCAATTGTGACGCGAAAAGTATAGACGCACATTCGGTATCCTCACGAACTTTGCATATCCGACATAGCATGTCTAGCCGCTGTCTAGCTGGAAGCATCCAAGGGAGGAAAGATTTTCTCAGCGGCTCTCTCTAACTCAGCACACAAGTATCCCGTCTCACTCTGTCCTCTCTCTCTCTTTCTCTCTCTTTGTTTTTCTGTGCAAAGGGTTACCGCTGAAAGACGAGAAAGACGGGCACGAGCACGAGCCTTTGGTGCAGGCACGGCAGCATCGCACGGCTATAGCTAATGGCATGTCTTCAGGGGGTATGGGCGGCGTCGGCGTGCGTCACCACGGCGTCGGGGCGCGGATGAGCCCGCTCGAGATCGGGATGTACGTGCTGCTCGCGGCGTTCTGCTTCGCGATCGTTGTCTTTGTCGTCTCCTGCGTGGTGTACGCCAGCAAGTTCAAGCCCCAGCCACCGGACTCCCCGCTGACCGGCGCGGCCGTCCCGGTGCTTTCTGGCGCGGGTGCGAGGGCTCGCGCTGCCGCAAACCAGCTGGCATCTGGCAGACGACCGCCACGCGAATCGACCACCAACGCACACGATTGGGTATGGCTAGGGAGAGCGACTCTCGAACGAGCTGCCTGCGGTCCGCAACAGGTACGCATGTCGGTGTGAATTTAATGATTTGTGAGTGAAACCGTTAACGAAACTATCGATAATCATTACCTATTAAAACTAATTTCGAAATTCTCAAATGGCCTGATAGTTAATTGCACCGTTAGATGTAATTATGTTAGTATATTATTTAAAATTTAAATCAATGAGATCAGAATATCGCACTTATCAGGTTTATTCGAAGGAAGAAAATGTTTTTTAATCGCAAGTCTGTTTAATTGTATAGATGATTTTAGTAAGATATATACATTATTTTGTAAACAAATATATAGAATGACATTTCTTCTAATAGCAGTTAAGTTTTGGAATATATTAATTCATATTTGTTGATCTTATTTTATTTATGTCACGATTCCATTTACTATCTATTTCTCAACAAATAATGTAGTAATATTTCTCATATCAATTTCTTGACTCACTTCTTTACTTCTTTCAACATAAATATTAAATATTTATAAATCAATAAGAATCTTATTTTAGACCGTACATGTGAGAACACAATCAATACTAGAAGTCAATTTACAATAAATTTATTTATAGTTTTTCAGCACATTAATATCTTTCTAATATGTTACCCGATTCAGCATCAAATTATTAAAAAATTGCTTGTCAATTTAATTTAATTTGTGATATTATTACAGTAGTTTAATTACGTTTAGAAGTCCGGAAAATCAATTCGGCGCGCAGTTCGAAACTACACTACAAATGTAGTATACTCGCATGTATATATAATATATAAAATTCACATTGAATTATTTGAGCATTAAAGATCCAGCTTCGACCGTTATAGGCATTTAATTTCTAGTATTGATTAAATATTTAATATCATAAAATTATTAAAGATTACTAACAAATTGAAGAATAACAAATGAAATTTCATAACATCGATAGCGATAACGCTCCAACGAGGTACATCTAGGATTAATCCGGTAATTGAAATCAATTCGAATTTTCGACGAGATTTGATGCTGTAAATATCTTTGCGCATTTCAATAACCCAGTGATAAATTGTTTTAAAAACAGCGGGATTTTGTTGAAACAATTTGATTGAAAAAACTTGGTTTATGTTGCAGGTACGAGTAACGAGTAATCCGTTGGCCGGCGAAGGGGAACCCGAGGCTGAATTGGGTACATGCTTCGACAATCCGAACCACATCGAGCTACCGTCTGCCAATCAGCGGCCTAGCGGCGGTACCAGTGCCATCGACACCACCACTTATTCCAAAAGGGACAGAGTAGCGCGAAACAGTTTCGCAGCAAAATCCGCGATTAAACCATCCGCGGTGATACCGCCTACAATGGCTACGACAGCAACGACAGCGATGTCGATTGTGGTTCCGACTACCACACGAAACGAGTAATTATGATTGAATGTTGCTCTTCCTCATGCGGAAGATTTATTTTTTTGCAAACGAATTAAATATATCTTCTAGCAGAGAAGAAGAAAGTGATATCCAAGAAGAAATTTCTTGTACAACAAATTGTTTAATATTGTATTACAAGAAGTTTAAACAAAATATCATACAATTTGTTGTGAGAACTTCTTTTTAGATATCACTTTTAGCATCTACAATTCTAGCAATTTTAACGAAATGATATTACCTATAGTGATAGCTTCGCGAGTACGTAAATCTTATTACAAATTTTTTGTTTTTATAGCAACGACGATATTCCTCCGCCCTTGCCACCACACGGAGTACCGATCACGAACTCGACACCAACAACGACAACTACGGCGACCACGACGGTCGGCACAAACAACGCAAGCAACGGCAATAACGAAGACTACAAGCCACCGGTACCGCCGCACAGAAACACGGGGGTGGGCATACGATTACCAGAACCGCCTGCGCCACGGAAGCATCGCCATAGGGCGTCTAGCGGTGGCAGCAGCGGCCATCACGGAAATAATCATCGGCACAGTAGTAAAGTACCGCAGCAGTCAAATCATATAGTCAAGTCGCATGGGAAAACTAAAGTAGACAACGCAAACAAGCAGAATGGCGAGGACGAGGAATTCGTGGAGTTGGTGAATCACGACGATAACAATAGGCACCTCGCAAAGGACGCTGGGAGATCACGGGAAATTAAGAGGGCGACTATAGTTGGTAATCCAATGTACTCGTCGTTCTCCACTTCCGCTGTGGTATCCACCGTTGTCTCTACCGTAAACTCATCTACCCCTACTGGCGGTGCGGCTTCGTCTAGCACAACATCTCCGCCATCTTCATCACCGTCCGCCTCTTCCTCCTCATCCTCCTCTAGCTCCTCTTGCGCCTCATCCTCCTCCCAGGAGCAAGAAGAATCAGTGGCTCTCGATGATCTTAATCTGGGTATGGACTATAATCAGATTATGCAGTATTTCGACAATCTAAAAGAGTCGAATGCCTAGGTGAGGCCGTTCGACCTTTCCAAAGGTCGAGTAGTAGTCAACGTCGATACGGAACACCGGGATTCTCGTTAGTAGATACAGCGAACGCGTTGAGTTGCTTCTTTTTTCTCTTGAGAATTTTATTATTGAGAATTCGTGACAACTCACTCTCGCGGGAACGAGATTCCGCTATCATCGAAAACGATAATTTCCCGGATATTTCGTATTTTAGACTTAATCTAGTCAGCTTCCTAGCAGCACATCAAGAGTAACGCGCAAACGCATACGCATACACACATACACATACGTTCATATTAACAAAAACTTAAGAAAGGAATAATTCCTTTGCATACAATTCACACAGTCTCTCGACAATTTGTTACGACCGCTGGCAATTTTTGGGCGCAACGGGTGAAAGTTCCTCAAGTACGATATAATTTTCCGATATATATATTATATATATATATATATATACACGTATTTTATCACATCAATACGTAAATAATGATACGTAAAATGTAATACGCGATAATAAAATGAAGAGATTGTATGTGTATTACATTAATACTTTATATTATAGACATGAAGATGCATATTTTTTACTATATTTTTTTACTATTTTTACAAATTATCGGTATCAAAACGATTCAACTTTGAGTATCTTTTTTCTTCTTGCTTTTGCTAGTACTTTTGTTGTTATTTATTTACGAAACATATTTCCTTTAATGGTTTTAAATCTTGGACTAATAATAATAAGTTTAATAGATTTAAGGTTCCTGAGTAGTCAGCATGCGATTTTCAAAATCAGTCGGCGGCCTGGCGAAATGTGGCGAAATCGTCACACACACAACACAAGCCCATGTACATGTACATGTGCTCTCGGCGCGCCGAAACATGTGTGTATGTACATGGGCTCGTGCTTGTGTGTGTGTTACAGCGCTTCGCCACGATAAATGGCTGAACTTATAGGCGTGAAAAAGTGATGTTTTAACAACGAAATTTGTGCTGCACGTCATTTCGTTATTGTTTGCTTAATTGTGAAAATGTGAAACGTATCTCGTATGACTTATGAAAGTTCTAAAAATGGGCAGAAACTATAGTTATCCTGGAGTTTGATACGTAAAAGCGTATATTTCATTTATTTCAACAGCTATTCAAACCGTGTGTCTCTGCCCGAAATTAAGCTCACTTTACTTTCCTTTTACGACCATTTACCGACTATTAAGGGAGAAAAGGACAGTTTCTGCCCATTTCTACAGGTATTTTAAAGCAATCTCGTCATTTAGATTTATCCAAATTGTCTTTATTTACAAATGGCTTGCAGCATAAATTTACGTGTTATTCCTCGCTTCTGACGTCACAATTCCAACGGCGACCGCCACAACTCCTCAGGAGCCTTAATCTTCATCATGATTTATGTTTTAGTATACATGCGAAGTGTAGTATTCGAGTATCGCGACTGCGAAAATTTGCTGGCGTAATGAATAGTCGGAGTACTGTTTACACACGTAAGAGGCTTTAAAAAAACTGACTGTCGGTGGCTGGTGGGGTAGATAGATTGCTCGCTCGATGGCGAAAGCGTCATGCGACATTACGACGTTTCTCGCTGCGAGCTTCGTTTCATGCAGGATTATCTATGCGTGGATCCTCGCTCTTGCCCCCCGTGCCATCTCGATCTCTCGCTCGATCCCTTCTCCGCTACCACGGTTCCTCCCTTCGTCTGGCCGCAAGTTAATGTCGTTATCGAGCGTCAAACGATTTGAGATGCTTTGTATTTTGATCGCGCATACATCCAATAATACGCACGTTGAGTCGCAAAGGTTCCCTAATATTTCTTATTTTCCTACAACTTTGAGATATTTTTGCATCCTTTGCAAGAGTTTTATGCCATAAACTAGCTATAGCTAAGCCATAACAATTTTTAATGTCCTGAATTTTTTAATACAAAATTCGCAGAGAATAATTTACAGGATCCTCGGGAAAGTCTTACGCGTGTCAACGTGCAATTTCTGCATTTAACAGTGAAAAGAGGCGTATCTTTGAATTTATAGAAAAAAATCAATATGTTTTCCGTACATGGAGAAACAAAGAAAGGAAAATTTTATACCGGTGAGTGTCTCTTCTTCATTGTTTCTACCAATGTTTAATCTTTATTCAATATTCGCTTCAATATTCGACGTGTGATGTCGTCAACAGTGGGCTCTTTCAATTCACTGAATGACGGGCTGTCAGTTAGCCGAGATCGGTAATGCAAAGCGCAATTGAAATACGACGAAGGCGTTCACTTGCGACCTGACCCAGTCGCATCGGAGGACATATTTATTCGATCGACCGTACGTCGTAATGTTTGTAAATTTTGCTTTGTAAGACTGTGTACATATATATATTATATATATATATATAGATACGATAGAGCGCATGTTAATTATATATGGACTTTACAGGTTTAAAGTTACATTTGTATGGCTAATAGAGATTCGCGAATCGTTCCACATGTCAACAAGAAATACATCTAGTTTGGCTGTACCAAAAGAGGAGAAATGTCGATGACAAAATACACGTATACGTTATACATTTAACTGATGTTCGAACGCTGCTTTCTGATATCGCTTTTGAATTATCCTTCATTCTTCTCCACGATCTTTTTAAGTACGTCGCGGCACTTTTTATTCTGCCAAAAGTACTTTCATCATGTGAATGCGTCCACATGCGTGTATGGTACCGTTGAAGTGAGACGGTAACTGAGTATATGAAGCACCTTGACATTAGTACCTAATATATCGATATACTTATTTAGGTACAGCCTCGAGATACAGTATCTTAATTAAATGCGCTCTTGCTTTAAACGTTTGTATCTAGGTATCGTATCTGTTACGGGATACTGTAACGTGTGTATATATATATATACTTGCCATATCAAGTGTATAATTGTATATTTATCATAAAAATATTATCCGAAATGTTAAAGTCGGCCATATAATATAAAGAAATTCTTTCATTTTGTAATATAACTGTTCAGTTTAAATTTAATTTATAGTCACTAATTTATCGCAATATTTTAGCAATATTCGAAATGTCAGGAATATGTTTCAACATTTTTATGGCTGTATGTATTTCATACATATACGTAGGTGCTATTTCGGAAATATATACGCACATACACAACACATCTTTCTAGTGTATCCGCATTTATACCTAGATACAAAAAGAAAACATGTACGTTTGTTAAAAGTGTGTATAAACTAAGTGAATATTGTCTACAACTGGATTATCAATGTAAAATAAACGTAAACTTAAAAATATTTACGTCGAATAAGCGAAAAATAGTGGAAAAAAGTTATTTTTGAGACAATAATTTTTCGAAATATGATAAAAAATTAATCGATCATTTCTTGCATAATAATTAATCAATAACACATATGAATCAAAGTAGATCGAATTTTTAGCGAAAATTATGTAAATTTATAAGTATGAAACAAAATTATTTTATAATAGATATAAATTTTTATTTTTTGTAGTACGATTTATTCTGTTTATATTTATATTATTGGTATGAATTCTTTATCTTAATAAAATATATAATTATTGAAGATACTTTTAAAGAAAATAATTCGTAGATAGGCAGAGTTCACTTAGTTTATATGTACTTTTCCTCATCATAACATACGAAGAGAAAAAAATAAAAATCGTTTGTTCTTCCCGATCGATTAGAATAGTTACAAACTCATCCACAGTTCCGTTGTTTTCCATAATAAAACTAATCATCGCGAAGCGATCGAATGAAATGAAGCAGAGACAATTTAAGTGTGAACGACCTACTCCAAGGATCAGCCAGGAAATCTATAGCTATGTACGTATCTAAGGACTACGGTGTCTAAGTATGTATGTAACTCTCTGTAAGTTGTGTGTCAGCACATCACGTGGGACAATAGTGATTTAAAATCTAATCCATCGGCGGCGAACGGCGTTCGACGAACAAACAATTGACGGCGCCTCGTTGTCGTAAAACACGGCGAAATGAATATGATCACATGGTTATATTGGGGAAACATTGAGGAAAAGTCGAAACAATGTGAGAATATTCCGCCGAGAATCTAGTCTTACAGCGTAATTATTATAATACATATATATAAATATATAAAATATTAATCAATGCGATGTACGTTGCCTTTCGCCCGATGATAATACGTATCTTACGAATGCCCCGCGGTCACCGTCGATGCGTCAAGCTTAATGTACATATAATCGATCCTTAATGGATATGGCAAAAATCAATCATCCATTCGGATTTTTCTAGAACCGAGCAAAAAAGATATATTAAGCTACATTCGAAAAATTAGATTTATCTCACATGAAAAGAAAAGTGAAAAGTTTTTGTTAATAACATGATCAAATTTTTGCTGACTGATACATTGTGGGCACTCGGTACAGTGGCTTAAACTTGCGTAAAACAAAGAATATATATAGTCTCATATCACATTATACAGAATTCTACCATATCAGTTAACGTTGAATAGTTTTTGAACCGATTGCAAAAACATCTTCTACCCGATAACTATGGATTTTTTTAATAATTTAATCTATATGTATCGGCTTAAAAAGTAACCAGAGCTTACAAAATTGCGAACATCTTATTTATCTATTTCGTAATATAAAATCTATAAACACTCATTGTCATCTGCAATCGGTTCTCATGCCTTAAGAGCGGCTGGTATCAGTAACTTTTCTATAAGCGAAAAATTGGAAGGGACTTTTAATAATAATAATTCATTCAAGACTTTTAAAAAAATATTCCTAATATAGTTCTCAAGCTGAAGTTTATATTCGTATCTCACATTTAATATTTTGTCCGAAAATAATTAATAAATGTGCGATATTAAACCTGATACCGTAACACTTTTTAAGATTATAATCATAAGATTAACAACTAATATTTCTCAATAATTAACAGTTATTCGGATTAACTTTATGCGACTACATGATCTTCACATAGATATGGAAGGAATAAGAATCTAGCTGAATGTGGGATATGGGTATCTTAGCTTCGTTCGAGCTAATTGCTTTGTCTTTTTTATTACTCTTTCTTTTCAAATAGATGGAGATGCGAGATTCAACGGTGAACACGGTGAAAACATGTACGAATTGATCATATCCGAGTATCAAGCGAAACAGGCGCACGCGCTAATCGTTCGTATATACATATATGACTATTATCTAACGATTTTGATATAAGGACACCTTCGGTGATTATCATGATGCCATAGCGTTTACTTAGTGTTACTAAGAGTGATCGGAGTCAGTGGCTTGTATGTTAGTATATATCGTTGCGAGGCGCGCATACACACATATTAGACAAGTCTCGTACACATTTCCGATTCTATACCATTTCGAGAGAGATGAAAAACTTGCACTTTATACTATCCTTGTAGGCATTGGAACATATCCTTCTTAATGTAATCCAGTGATTTCCGATAAGATCTTTGTTGTATCGTAGGAGAGATTTCAAGTTGTATGATATAACAATATCTCTTTATAGCTCTTTGTAGCTTTTTCTTATTTATCCTTCAAATGTTTTTCTACTTTTTTATTTATTTTCTCCTTTCTTCTTTTTTATCTTTTTATTTTTTTTATAAAAAAAAATTATATTAATTAACACGTCTATGTTAATGCATTTTTTAATGTTTTTTTAAAGTATTATGTAAAACGTTTAATTTTAAAATATGGTTTAAGGCAACCATATTTTCGCAGATAAGAACATATACAAAAAATTGTAATAACAACTAATATTCGATTGCTTAGAAATCACTGGTAGTTCCTTCACAAAGATTCCTTTTACATCTACATTTATTTTACAATTTATCTAATTCTAAAAATTTCTATCCATGACCAATGTAAGCGACAGTAAACGTGCGCATCACGTATTGTAAGTCCTTCCAATCTTCCCTTTTTCCTGAACTCTTGCTGATTCGAAGAGGTACGATAGATTCATCGCAATGCATCGCTGACTCTGCATCCGCGCACATTCCTCAAACACTGTTTATTTTAAGTGTGATAAATGCGGAACTGAAAAAAGAAGAAAAGCGAAGAAAGCGATAATTACTAACTGCGCTCGCGACGATGACGCTTGAAGACGTTGACGATGGCGGTGGTGACCGCATCTACGATGACGACAATATTCAACGATGCAAGTGTTCTCCAAACTCTCTGAACGATTTTGGAAAAAATAACCGATTGTTGTAAATTAGAGATTTTATTTATATACTCGAACAATTTTTAATGGAAAACTTGATCTTTTTAATCCACCATCTAGAAAATCTTCACTGTAAAAATATTTCACACCTTCATAATGCTTAATCCTTATTTTACAAAGATGGAGACTTGAAAAAAATTTTTTTAAAAACTATTTTTTAATTACACATTAAAAGGCCTATACACATTGGATAATTTTTTTTTACTCGTAAATTTCATAAATATCTTAATAATAATCGAGAGACCGAATTTTGTTCCAATTTTCTGTTAATATTTCTTACCAAAAAATCGTCATTTTTCCAAAAGTTTGAGGACACATCTTGCTCGGTCATACTGTCGCAAGCATAGTATCAGCACAAGCTATCGGAGACATTCCATGACGCCGGATAACATTTTGATATTTTACTAGAATAAATCTGTAAGATAGACAATATAATTTCTTATGTGAAAATATTTTTTGTCAAATATTCTGATAATTTCGAGCGATTGTTGTCCTTAGGCAAAATGATTAGTAAAAGACTCAAAGAAAGGAAGCATTCGTATCAATAATTCAAACTAATGCTTTTCATTTTTTTTTTAATATAAATAAATAGGATATTGAAATTGATTTATCTTTTTTTTCTTATAGAGCGGAATTTTATTATAACATATTTCTTTTAAAATAAAATTTATTTTTCTTGAGGTCGCCATTCATCACAAGTTTATTCAAATAACAGATGAAGAAGAAAAATGATATTTCTAAAGTATTGTGTCCGGAACTCTGGAATGACCCTCTACTATCATTAATAAAAATATTATCATCATGTCTATTACTATATGTATACTGCTATTGTTACTTGTACTACTATCATTATATTTATTGTCATCGTTGCTGTTGCTGTTATTGTTATTAAGATTATTGCTGCTGTTGCCATCGCCGCGTCGATCGCGCGAATCTTGAAAACATAAGGCGTCATTGACGTTGTCATTGCCATTATCGTCATCGTGGCCGTCGTCACTATCGACATTAATGTCGGCGCCGCCGATATGCTATAATTAATAACAATAAGATACGACTATCGCCTACTCAATGTACAATATGTAGTATTTACCTGTTGTTACCATCAAACCGTCATCAAAGATATATAAAAATATTGTAATTGTAACGTATTGAGTTTCTCGTATCCTTTTCTCTCCCTTTCTTCTAAATTAGACTTATATTCGGTTATAACATATGTAATTGAATCAACGATAAAGAAAAAAGAAAAATCACTGCGTTTCCAGATATTTGTTTCATTCTTAAGTTGTTTCAGTTTCTGAATTTAGAGGCTATTCTGAGTAAAACTTTTTCTGCC